ACCTAACCTAAACCTAACCTAACCTAACCTAACCATACTAAAAAAAAACTAAAAAATAAAAACCTAACCTAACCATACTAAAAAAAAACCTAACCTAACCTAACCTAACCTAAAAAAAAAAAAAAAAAAAAAAAAAAAAAAAAAAAAAAAAAAACCTAACCTAACCTAACCTAACCTAACCATACCAAACCTAACCTAACCTAACCTAACCAGACCAACCCAATCACCGGAATGGCGAGCATTGGGATCAAAGGATCCTAGTCGAGATGACCCTGACCGCGAGATGTCGCTGAGGAGTCATCCTGACCGTGAGAGCTACGTCCGGGATCATCCTGACCCCGAGACGTCCTCCAGGGATCATCCGGACCGTGAAGGGCCTATCCGGGATCATCCTGACCCCGAGATGATGCTGAGGGATCTTTATGAACCCGAAATGTCGACGAGGGATCAGCCGGACTCCGAGACGCCTGCCAGGATCATCCTGACCCGAGATCCTGACCACCAGGATCGAGGTCAACGGAGGAGCAGCGATCCTGACCCAGTGGACCTAGGCCGAAAGGACGAGCATGCAGAGGATCCTGATGAAGGTACAGATCACGACCAGCACGTGATCATGAGATGGCTTGCCGACTCGGAGTAGACTGTAGATATCCTAAGTGATCTCGGGAGATCACCGAAGGTGATCTCGAGTCGCTGGTGACCGCGAGAGATCTCTGTGGAGATCATAAGAGATCACCTACGGTGACCTCGAGCGATCGGTGATCACGACTAGGCTACCGAATCGGGCCGAGATCTCCCGAGGTGACTTAGGATCCGTTATTTAAGAATATCGTTTTTAGTTTATTATACCCAGCGACTAGGCATTATAGAATCTTTATTTTGTTTTGCGAGACCAAGGATCATTATGATCACGTGATCATTACCTAGTTTACGTATTGTAAGATACTTACCTGGAACGACGTACCTGATAAAGATCTCGAAGGCCCGTTGACCACGAGATCCGTGACCTGAAAGAAATCATTTAGAAGTTTTGTTTTTGTTATACTTACCGGTGTTTGGTGGCATCCCGCGACGTCTCACGATGTCCCACGATGTCCCGCGCTGCCGTCAAACCTGGAACAGAAAAAGATCATATTATTATTCAAGCATGTAGATATATATATATATAAGTTTATATTATTTTATAAGAGTTTTATAAGAATGTTTGTTTTGATAATCATATTATGAAAGATTTATGTTACTCGACTGCCGACGTCTGCGCATGCGTGCGTATGTTAGCGTCTGCGATGGGGAAGCGGACTTGACACGATTGGAGAGAGCGACGGAACGAAAGAGAGAGAGGAGGAGTGAGAGAGAGAGTTTGAGAGTGCGGAAGGCGCGCAAGCACCGTCCGTACAAACAGTTGGTCCTAGACCGTCGAGACCTCCGGTCGTGTGAAGGGCCGCTCCGTGAACGCGACGTTACTGCGTAAATCGACTCGGCGATCGGGGTGCGCCCTCGCCGCAGCATATAGACGCCACCGGGCGTAAGTAGTCGACCTTGTGTATTCCAACGGAACAATAAACAAAGTGAATTACACTGTGAAGTGCGGTGTTGCTTATCTCGGGATCCCCGTCCATCCCTGCAGAGTGCTGCGCCGTGCGACAACAAAGAGGACGGGTGGCGACCAACCTTATTCCATACCTTGTGGATCTGCAATCTTCACCCCTTGGACTCGAGGAAGGACTCGGCGTCCGGTTACAACCTAACCATACTAACCAAACCAACCCGTCCGCCGGAGCGATCCGGGTCATCCGGAACGAGCCACGAGCAGGCAGAGGCAGCCGTCCTAACCGCGAGGAGAGGACTCGTGGCCGTCCTGACCGCGAGGAGAGGACACGTGACTGTCCTGACCGCGAGGAAAGGACTCGTGACCGTCCTAACCGCGAGGAGAGGACTCGCGACTATCCTGACCCCGAGACGTGGACTCGCGATCGTCCTGACCTCGAGGAACGAGTCACCAGTCGCCGTAACCGCGTGGAGCGAAACTGGAGGAAGGATCCTCGAGAACACGAACCTCGAGAACAGCCGAGGTCCCCGATGGTGATATACCTCTCCACCGAGGACCCCGAGGAGGAATCCACGAGGGACCGAACTGACCCCGAGGAGCAACCCGAAACCGGAGATCCCCTCGAGGACATGGAAACCCCGAGACCAGGTTCCGAGTAGGCGGAGCTCCTCAAGGACCGACAGGACTTCGACGAGTAGGAGGACCTCGAGGAACAGGGAGTATATCGAGGTCATAGGTGTAAGACTGGTCCGGAAGTCAAGGTCGAGAGCGCGAACATGCCCAGGACACTCGAGTCAGCGGGAAAAGCAGTACGCAATGCAAAGTTTTGTTTAAACCTCGCCAGATGACTCGAGGGACAGTGGACCTCGATAGGCGAGATAAATAGTTTATTTATAATCATTAGAGTTATATTTTAAGTTCCGTTTGCGATAAACTCCGACTGACTGCGAGACGGCGAGATCCAGGCGGCGTGAGACCCGGAAACTCGCCGTTTCGGGTGTAAATGAGTAAAGAGTGTCAGTGGGGCAGTGCGCGTGTCTCATCCGAGAGCCTGAGACTCTTAAACCGACAAAAACTTCCGGAGGCTCTGTGGCGTCTGGGAAGCCGGCCTTGATTGCGAAAATCAAGTTTTGAGAAGATTATTTTATTTCAGTTAAAGAGACCCCTCCCAGATCCCACAGTAAGCCTAGAAACACTAACGGAAAGCGGTAGTACAAGCCAAGGTTATGTAAGAGTTGATAGAGTTCACGAAAGATCCAAATGTAGAGTTTTACATGTTTAGTTTATAAAGAGAGATTGTTCAGAGTCGAGTGGCGACGATATGTCCAACGATGGCCTGAAAACAAAAATAGATTAATTACCAAATTGATAGCCTTGACTTGTACTTACCCTGATGACGAAGAAACAAACCAAAGACTGATATTGTCCCGCGGCGACCTGAAAAACAAGAAACAAATTAGTATTAAGTGCGATAAAGGTATAGTATACTTACCGTGTGGGCTGCATCCTGTCCAAGGGCGGCGTCTAGTCCAACGATGACCTGAAACAATCAAAAAGAATTATTAAAGTTAATTTTATATAGATTAAAATACTTACCTGAGGTATGTCTCATCCGATGGTGACCTGTAAAGAAAAAGGGTAGATTAGTGTATAACAACAATATAATGCAATGTGCAATACCTACCTGAAAGGGTGACAAAAACGATGAGGCGTCCAATGTCCCGCGGCGACCTGAAAAGAAAATATAATAGTCATTAGAATTAAGTTTATAAATTTATATACCGTAATCTATGCTGTTTACATATTTATACATATATATATTTTTATATGCATTTCTTTATAATGATACGCGTAGGATTAAGTTTATAAAAGCGAGCAAAGTTTATTTTACAATTTTATAAGTAGAGTTTATTTTAATAACGTCGAAGTCGGTATTACCGACCCGGTTTTAGCGCCCTCTGAGTGAACGTACGAGCGGGCGGTGTGCGTCTGTTATCCGAGGCATATAGAGTTTCGCCTCTGAGACGGACCCGTGGTCTTTCTAAGAGGCGAAAGGCGCGAAGGCGCCAAACAAAAGCAGTGGGAGATCACCCGCCACGGAGAGCGGACGTGTACACCCCTCGTGCCCACTCAAACCAGTTCCGCGTAAATTGCGGCGAAGATTTATATTCGCGACGCGGTGTAAAGGCGGCTAGGCGGCCCAACGTAACGAATAAATAATCATTAAACAGCAGTGTGGTGTTGGTGTCTCGGTCCCCGATTCCCCGTCCATTCCTGGGGATCCCGCTGCGCTGCTGCATCAAAGGACGGGTGGCGACCGAAATAGCTGCGTCCCGAAAGGAACCTGCTTCTTCATGTGCGAGCCCCTCGGGCTCGAACCCCATTGTGTCCGGTTACACACGGCCTAGGGAATAAGACAGCAACATTGGACGCCGTCGGTGAGGGGAACGGTTCCCCGCTGGATCGCTGAGAGCGTGAAGGGTGACCTCGTTGATCACGGAAAGCAGTGCCGTGTAGAGTTCACAGGCCGGCGAAAGCCCAAGCGAAGGACGCCAAGGGCAATAACCAAACTGCGTTCCAATGGCGACCGTGACAGGATGCACGTGCGCAATAAGTCGTCCTAAATAAGTGAAATCACGGAATTCCGCAGAAAAGTGTACCGCCGTTGTTGCGAAGACATTGAGTGTCGAGCGTGAAAGTGCCGACAAATACCCGCGCAGTGTACGCGCCTTAATAGACCGAATATTACGAGAAACGGTAATAAGTGACGATAACGTGTGATTACGCGCTGAATCCGACAAGCGCGACCGTGAATACAGAGTGTAAATTATATGAAAAACCGCCTAAAAACATTAATTCCGCCGAAAAACAATCGCCGCGATCGCGAAAAACGCAACAGTCTGATTAACGAACAGACCGAGAGTCCCCTACGAGGCGAAGAAAACGACGAGACGCGTGAACGAGCCGATGCGTGATTCCGGCCGATATCCGCGTAAATATTCGTACGATTGTTCCGCGACAGTGCGAGGAAAACCGCGATAAGACGCAGAGCATCTGCGCGACGAGGATTATCCAGGATACACCCGTGGACCCTGCCAGAACCGAGGAAATTGACCGGTGCAGCCACGGACACCAACGGACACGTAGGAAGGGACGCTACGAACCAAAGCCGACGAGAAAACGAAGAAACGTCGAAGTAGTGAGTCCAAAACCAACTAATATTAATATTAATTAGCGAATCGCCGAAGGATAATACCGGTGTGAAAGCGCGAATAGCGATATAACCTCAATTTAAGGTACAGCGACACGTAGAGATTAGCGCGTACGTTAGGACGCTCGTGACGCGATCGACGTGTAAAAATTCGAGTAGAGAATCAAAATCCGCGTCCAGTGATACCGGAACGGTCCAGATCGATCGAGGAATTCCGACGATATTGATTATTAGAGATACAGAGTCTGCGATAGACAGAAAACTAGTGCATACAGCTCAGCGCCTGTCAAACGGAACGCGATAGCGAAAATCTGCTTAGATTCCATAAAAGTAGAGCCGTATACAAAACCAACGAGCCCAGGATCATTGAGCTGGGAGGAAAATTGACAGAGATACACCTAATCACAAATTGGTTAGTCGCAGTGAGCTGCGACAAAAATTTAGAGCCACTATTGTGGAATAAAATAAGTTCTAGATGATTCGCGAACACGGGACTTAAATTTATAGCTTCCAGACGAAAAACCTGACTTGCAGAGTCCACAACCACTTGAATCGGTCAAGCAGAAGCTGTGAAATAAATTATTTTGTGCCAAAATAGGGCCATTTCCGCTGTAAAAGTGCATGCTAAGGTCCCAGTGGCGACTTTGTTCCCGAAAAGCTCGGCGAAATTTCACTTAGATGCGAAGACAGACAACTAGAAAATACACTCGCGTACCAAATTGCAACCCCCTAGATCCATTATTTACCGAGATATACTAGCGTGTAGCTGGGGATCGGAGATAATACCACATACGGATAAAACTTTTGATACGCATTTCGTAGCTAGTTTTTGAGGGAAAATCCTTCGAGGAGATGCAAAAACGCATCGATACACACCGCAATCGTTAACGTGAGGCAATTATTGCCTGAGATATTAACCAATTAAGATTGAAAATCCGCGATATACGATATAAACAAAATATAGGGCCCCGCGCAGCCCGAACCGCGAATGGCACAAGGATTGTGCTTAGAAATCTAAAAAGTACTCTTGGAGACGAAGCAAAAGAGCCCAAGAACATCAAAATCGGATTATTATTGACGGAGTTAGGGTAGATCACAATTCAGTCAGTCGCCGACAGCTGCGACAAAAATTTGATCCCACTATTTGAGAACAACTTCTCACCTAGACATCCGACGACAACGCCACTAGAATTTTCGGAAAGAGAACGAAAAACTGAGTTTGCTCGTTCCAGAACCGTGCGATTATCTCTATTTGAACCGGAGATATTAATTATTTTGTGTTAAAATTGAAGGCGTTGCGACTAAAATCTGACATATAAGGTTCAAGTGCCAACTTTTTCCCTGATAACAGGAGACTTTCGCCCTTTGGCGCGATACTAGCCTCCCTAGAGAGGAACTCGCACACCAAAAACCAACTTGATCCGACTGTTAGTTTAACGGTAATTTATTGTTAAAAAATTGATACCGCTGTAGACATTAGCCTATTTAGCCTATAGCGAGTTAGAGACATCCGGTAGTGTGCCTGTTGTAGGTTTTGGGAACAACGTCACCGCCGGAGACTGGCAAGACTGAGCAGAGTCTGAATAAACAATTAAATTTGCAGTAACAAACGAAAAGAGTGAAAAATTGTCACTTTTTAGAAACTAAATTTTCCCTGTACGTCCGGGGACAAGACTGTCTAAATTTTCTGAAAGAGAATCGAAAACCCAACTTGCTCACCGTTGAACGACCCGATTATCATCGGTAGAACGTGAGAAATTAATTATTACAATTTGGCCAGCCGCTGCGAGCTGCGACACAGAATATAAGTCACTATTTTGAGTTAGAATTTTTTCTAGAAGACATACGACATTGTGACTTGAATTTTCAGAATCAGGACAAAATTCCTGACTTGTAGAGCCCGGAAACGTTCGAATAAGTCGACTACAACCGGAGAAATAAATTATTTTCATTGAAAAATAGCCTCATTCCGACACAAAATTCACTCATAAGGTTCAAACCTCAACTTTTATACCGCGCGTTGTAGACAATTGTTCTTTGGTATCATACGAGAGGACCACAAGAGACACCTGGATACCAATTTGCAACTATCTAGGTCGATTATTTAAAAAATTACAGCCTAGTGAAATTTGACTACAAGATAAAACCTCACTTTTCCGCGACAACTTTGAACCAGACGTCCTAGACCGACGTAAATAGACTCGTGGGAAAGGAAATTAAAAACGGGACTCGTAGAATTTTGCACGAGTCGAATAGCGCAAATAGAACGCGAATTATTAACAAATTTAAGGCAAAACTAGCCTGTTTGCGACACAATTTTGCATGCCCAGGTATCAGAGCGAACTTTTGAACGCGACGTCGTAGCGACATTTCGTGTGAACGCTCTTGTAGAGGACGGAGAAGGACACTTGCATGCTAAAAACCAAATTGTTAAATTGACAAATTACCGAGTTATCGTATAAACAAAATCCAGACTACGGAGAGATTAGACGAGGGATTGACAAGGTTCACAAGCGACTTTAGAGTTAAAATCAAATAGAATCTTGTAGAAGCCGAATCGATTAACGTGTTGAAAGCGCACGATCGGAATTTTCCGGTAAAATCATAAACAAAAAGAGTTGTGCGGAAACCCAACGGTAACCAAGGGATCTAACTTAGAGGATTCAATTCCATAAAATCACGGAAGTCATCCCACCGTGAAGTAAATACTTATTCGATATTTATTAGCATTTATTATTATTTAGAGGCATATAACCAATATATAGCATATCTATACCATATTCTGAGTTGATAAAAAATATAAATACACAAAAATATATAATATTTATAGGATCATTTAACCAAATAGCTCTATTGGAAACCAATATTATAATCTTACAATTTTACGTATAATTTAGAAATTTATCACAATTATCTTAAAAAATATATATTAATCTTCAAGTTTTATAATCTTACTATAGTATTTACAGATATAAAATTATATAATCGCATACTCGAAATATCCTCTTTAGTATATTATTCACGTTGTAGACTTAGACGCTTAAGTAACCGCACAACTCACCCGGCATGGAGGCCGTTTACATAGCGTGCGTAGTATTGGTAATTTTGCTGATAGGACTCATGTATCATTTCGCACCCTATCAGACGCGATATTGCTATAACGCGAGCAGATCGTGAGACCACAAACGCGTGCGCGAGACCATAGGACACTCGAGGTAGATTCGAGGCCATATTAGAAGCTCGAGGCGAACACTCGAGTACCCCTCGTGCTAAGAGAGACCCCCTGTCCGAAAAATTTTAAACCGCGACTCGAGTAGCTAACGAAGCAACACCGCGAGATCGATAACCTTGAACGCGACGATACGAAAGAAAGTTGACGGCAAAAATGTCGATTCCCGAAAGAGCGGACGTCATCGACGAAGCGAGACCCGCGACGCGATCCGGCCGCGTGTACGGAAACATGCGACCGCTGGTCAGGCCGGCGTCGTTCGTGCCGACCGAGAGTCAAACGTTGAGCAGAACGACGTCCGAAACGAGCATCGCGGCTCCGCGAGCCTTAGCGAACGTGCTCGAGAGCATGAGAAGCGACAAGGCGACAGTCGGAAGCGTAGCCACCGAGGCCAATCTCACAAACTGGGGCCTCGATGACCCGTCTATCTGGAGCAGTACGGTGATATCTACCGGTAACAAGCTCGCGAGAGACTCGCGACCGAACGAGATAGACGAGAGATTCGACAAGATAGAAAAGATACTGGGAGAATTAGTCACCCACGTTAAGACGCCCAAGACTGAAAAAATTTCAAAACCCGAACCCGACCCACCCAAGCACAAACCGAACAATGGAACAACTACCGTTTAACGCGACGATACGACAGCGACGAGACGGTAGCGACTAGGGAAGACGCGAGATCGATAGCATCCGCGGTATCGACGAACCGCAGACCAGAGCGGCGTAACGAATTACTCGAAGATATGTACGATCCCGAACCGGAACGACAATATACATCGGACAGACGCACTCTTAGAATTTCAAAATATAACGAAGGAGATCCGAGACAGCGATTTACCACTCGCGAACCGCCGCGAGCGAACCCGTTCGGAGATCTCAAATTTACAGGTCGCGGAGACAAACAACATCCAATGAGATTCCTCAATGATTTCCTAGGAATAGCAGATTACGAGAACCTCAGAGACCGCGATCGTTTACACTTTTTTAAACAATGCGTGACGGATCGAGCCCGCGAATGGTTCGATCTGCAAGAGTTCGTGGAATTCGGCGAAGTATTGATAAAGTTTCAAGACAAGTACTGGGGGCGAATCGATCAGAACGAATTCCGTGACAAAGTACGTAACGGTAGATACAACGCAAACACGGGCCGTACAATGGCAGAGTACATCGAAAAATTTGCCCGAGACGCGAAGTATCTCTCCCCCTCGATACACGAATACGAGCTCGTCGAAGAACTCAGCATGCATTTCTCAGCCGAGGTCTACGAAGATCTCTTGATGCTCCGAGTTAACACGATCCAGGAGCTTTGCCACAGATTAAATGTCATACAGAATCGCAGGCGAAACCGCGCGCAAATCGCGATCAAAGACAGGATAGCGCGCGAACTCGAGGCCGAACGAGCGTACTCAAGGTCAGGGTCGTACGACGAGATCTCGTACGACCCGCGTGGCGACTTAACCCACGCTCGATACGCACCGGACCGACGTGATCCGTCGCCAGAGCGATGGTACCCGGGTAGGTACTACCAACCCGAAACACGCACGGTCACTCGCGACAGACGCGAGCAGGTGGTACCGAGACCGAGCTCGAGAGGACGATTCGGGCGCGATCACTCGATTGCCCGAGAGCCCTCGATGGCCCGAGCGAGCGAACATCGCGATAGGCGGGAGACTGCGGAGCCGCGAATCGAGAAATATCCGCGTGCGTATAACGAAATGGGAGAACGCAACACAACTCCCCGCGATAGATCGATCCCTCGAGACCACCTCGCGCCATCGAGACCACGAGAGACTCTGAGGTCGCGTGAGACCTCGAGGCGGCGAGAAACGACGAGATCCAGAGAGACCTCGCGTCCCCGCCAAACCTCGAGATCCAGAGAGACCTCGCGTCCCCGCCAAACCTCGAGACCACGAGAGACCTCGAGAACACGCGAAACCTCGAAACCACGCGAAACCTCGATAACACGCGAAACCTCGAGACCACGCGAATTCTCGAAATCGCGCGAAACCTCAAGACCGCGCGAATCGCAGAAAGAAGTGTCGTCACTGCGAACTGACGATATAATAAACGAGTTGAGAGACCTCGAGTGCCAAGACCAGCATCTCGAGGAAGAAACAAAAAAGGTGCCGACGGTCGAGGTTAACGTGATAGCGGAAGATGAACGCGAACTCGACCGAATAACGATCAGAGCTTTGCTCGATACCGGAGCGGCAGTTTCCGCGGTTAATCCGAAAGTAATTCGAAATTTCGAACAAAAACTGCAAACAACAGCAGACACCGATATAGACAAACTATTTCCCCGCGTAAAAATTAACAAAATTCATATACGCGGAGCGTTCAATCAAAAAGGCGTGCATACAGACGCGCTGATTCAGCTGAATATCGAGCTGAAAGATCTCGAAGGAAACATAGACAAGTACACCCACGAGTTCTATGCCATCGAGACGTTATTTATCCCGATGATCCTCGGATCGGACTTTCTAGGCAAGTATAACATCGCCGTAACGTGTCCGAGACCGACCCCGTTCATAGGAGCGAATCGCGCAGAAAATCCGCGCGAAGCGCCCGAATCTAGCCAATCGTCAATCACTGGAACGGACCTCGAAACGCTCGGGGTGTCCGAAACGCGAGAATCGGGTTTCGAAGACCTCGAGATTGACGAAATACGCGAGTCCAGCTTGGACGATCTTCTCGCGAACGTTCGCGAGCCGCCAACGTTGTCGTCGGACAACGCGAACCGCGAAACGGGGCGATCAGACTGCGAAACGACGTCACCCGTTACCGGTGACGAATTTGCGAACAGACTCGAGGATCTATTGAATCACTATAGCCTACTATTGGACGGATCACTCGGAAAGATCCAAGGCTATCGACACGAGATTCGTATGACTACGACGAGGCCATTCAAAGGTAAGTCATATCCGATTCCTCGAAAACATCTCGAGGAAGTGCGAAAGCAGATCCGCGAGATGGAGGACCTCGGAGTCGTAAGCAGAGCCGCGACTCAATATATAAACCCTCTAGTGGCCGTCACCAAGTCGAACGGAAAAATCCGCATCTGCCTCGACGCCCGTGCGATTAACGACCGCATGGAAAATGACCACGCCCAACCTCCGACAATCGACGAGGTACTGGCGGGCATCGGGCAGAAAAAGATCTTTAGCAAGCTCGACATAACTCAAGCCTACTGGCAAATTCCATTGGAAAAGGAGTCCAGGCAGTTTACGGGTTTCTCTTTCGACCACCAGACATACGTGTTCGAACGACTACCGTTCGGTCTTAAAACAGCGGGCGCGTCGTTCACAAGAGCGATCGAAGCCGCGCTAAAAGAGCAACAGGAACTTAAACGTAACGTCACCGTCTACCTCGATGACGTTCTCGTAGCCAGCGAAAACGAAGTCGACCACTTGCAGCACCTGCAGAGCGTATTCGAAGCGCTGCAAGCGGCCGGTTTTCGGCTGAATAGAGAAAAATGCGAATTCGCGAAAGATCGAATCGTATTCCTAGGACACGACATTTCGCGAACGCACGTGACAATCACAAACGAGACGAAACAGAATATAATAGACTTTCCAAGACCGCGCAACAAGAAGGAGATTCAAGCCTTCTTGGGATTGGTAAATTGGGATCGGCGTTTCATCCCAAATTTAGCGCGAAACACCGTTCACTTGGAGAGACTATTGAGAAAAGACACCAAATTCGTGTGGGACTCGCCCAAAGAACAGGCTTTCCGCGAGATCAAGAACAACGTGCGCGACGCGACTCGACTGTATCTCTTAGACCCCGCGTTGAACTACGGGATAGAGACGGACGCGTCGACGATAGGGATCGGCGCGCGATTATTCCAGTACGACGAGTCGGAACGCGAATACACCATCGCGTACGCGAGCCGTAGCCTGAAAGGCGCCGAGCGCCGATACACGATCACAGAACTCGAGGGATTAGCCCTCGTATGGTGCTTGCGCAAATGGAGAGTTCTCCTTATGGGACGCCCCGTTCGCGCGAGAACCGACCACCGGGCACTCAAGTTTGTGAGCGCGTGCGCCGTGGCGAGTCAGAGAATGGCGAGATGGCTCGCCTTTCTCCAAGAGTTCGATCTGAACATTCAGCACGTACCAGGTGCAACGAACACCACGGCGGACGCGCTATCGCGCAAACCCCTCCAGAAACGACGCGGAAGCCCCACCGAATGTTACACTCGCCGAAAACAAAGGCGAATAGCCGACGATTCCAGCTCGTCTACGACAAGCGACGCCGACGCGAATCAGGAATGGGACCGCGAAGGGCGCAAAAAATACGCGCCTCGTATTTGTCTCATGGCCGACGCGTACGAGGGTGAAGACACTCGGGAATGGATCGATTTCATCCGCGAGGCGCAGAGCAACGATCCAGACACGATGCGACTGCCACCCGAGCAGCCGGATAAGTACACTCTGCGCGATGAATTCGTCAGAACGATCCAAAACGACGGCAGCGACAGAGTCACGATACCCGAGAGCATAGCATGGGAACTGGTAAACTACATCCACCAGTACCTCACGCACTTTGGCACCGACAAAGTTCTCGAGTTCGCAAAGCGCTATTTCGACATCGAGAACGTCGATAGAATAACCCGAGATGTGGTGGCATCGTGCCACCTGTGCATCGCGACTAAAGTATACGCGAGGCCGACCAGAGGCCCCGAATATTACGATCTACCACGAGACATTGGCGAGGTAGCTTCCGTTGACCTGTACGGCCCTCTACCGAGGTCCTACGACGGACACGGTTACGTACTCGTGATCATGGACCAATTTTCGAAACATACCAAAATGTACCCGATACGGAACCAAAAACTTAAAACCATAGAGTACGTTCTCGAAAACTATTATTTCAGAGACATGAATCGCGTACCGGGCACAATATTGACGGATTGCGGCGGCCAGTTCCTCTCCAATCACTGGAAGGAATTCGCCAACCGACTAGGATTCAAAATACGGAGAACATCCCCGTATAACCCACAGAGCAACCCTGTGGAAAGAGCGATGCGAGAGTTAGGTCGTGCGTTACGCGCGTACGCGTGCGATGAACACCGTCGGTGGGACGAGGTAGTCCCACGCGTCGAGCAGGTCATCAACGCGACAGAACACTCGAGCACCGGAGTGCCACCCGCGATACTCGAGAATCGCGACGCAGACGTAATAATAGGTCCACCCGAGGTATTGAGACCACGAGTCACCCCGCGAATAGACCGTGACAGTTTAGTAGAATCAGCCACCGAACGTCTCCGACTCATGGCGCGCAAACGCAGACGCCAGAGCGAAAAGCACGGTACAGCCGTTCAGTACCGACCAGGAGATCTGGTATGGATCAAGTCACACCGTCGGAGTGACCAGCGTCACGCCAAGATCCATAAATTATTTCCGCTTTACGAAGGTCCATTTCGCGTACGCGGTGAAGTCCATCCAAACGCGTACTCGATAGAACGACTCACGTCGGAGTCGCTAGGACATTTTAACACCCGTCAACTGCGACCGCACCGCGTTCCGACGTGGAGACCCGTAGAAATCGACCAACCACCGTCGATGCGCGAAGAATCGGAAATATCGGGCAGCAGCGAGCAAAGAAGTAGCGCCGAGCTCGAAACATCGTACGAGCCGGAACATTCGGACCCGCAAATCGAACGGAACAAACCGAGAGCTCGACTGTCCGCCCTGGCGCGTAGACTATCATCCGGGTCGGATACATCGTGCGAACGATGGATACAACCGCGAAGAACGCGCAAAATCGAGTATAATGTAGAATCACCGCCGGATACGGACGACACATGGGAAATCGTTAAAGTACCGAAAAAACCGCGAAAACGTCCGAATAACGAGATTGGCGGGAGAGCCGGATCGCAGTCACCGCGAAACAAACGTTTAAATCGTACGACCAAAAGCCGGAACCGAGAACACTCAAAACTGAGTGCTTCTCTCGATTAATTTCAGATTCGACCATGAGCCTCAAAGACCTGGCACGTCAACACGACGAATTGAGCAAAAGGCTGGAGGAACGGCTACGGAGGAGAAAGGAACTCGAGGAAGAACAATGTCGAGAGATGCGAAAAAGAATAGCTCAGATGCAACGAGCTCTAGACGAATGCGAGGAAGACATCCGACGCATGGAATCCGCATCCGCTTCTAAGAACACGACAAGAACCAACACACCCGAGCCGCGACACCAGAGAACATCCACCGAAGCACCAGCATCCGAGGCAAGCACCATAAAGATAGAAAATGGACGCTCAGGCTCCAGAGGATCCAGGAGTCCAGCCAGAACGAGTGAAGTCGTATCACCCGAGGCCCAGCAATGGAACTTCTCGGAATCCGAATCTCCAAACACCCGAGAACAACAGAGGACTACTTCGAGGAGAGCAAGCTCGAGCCTTAATAACAAACACAAGTCCGAAACCCGCTTGTTCACCCGAGATGACAGCGATAAGGAGAACAACGCACAATCCGACAAAAGTCAATCGAGAAAGCCTAAACATACAAGGAGAACAACATCCGATCGTGACACATCCAGTAAAAACATCGGAGACATCAACAACAACAAGTCCATCAAAAAGATGAGTCACGCAAAACGCTACCACGATGAAGCACCTCAACTACACAAGAACCAGAGGACCTCGCGATCAGCTCGCCTCCGAAAGGAAAAAGAAGACCGCAGACGCGAACTGAAACGACTGGCGAACATCAGATACCGCAAACGGGTAAGAGAAAAGCTCGACATCCTTGCCCGACGCCAATCCCGCACCATTCCAGACGACTCGGACTCGAATGCCGGCGAGTCTCAGAGCGTGCCGATCGGAGAATCGCCGACAGGCGGGAGCGTGCAGCGGCCACTAGCTGCAGGCGGTCCGAGGCCAAAGGACGAGCGAGCCGCCCAGCGGGGTACCGACGAGGACTCGAGGCCAAAGGAGACAGCAGGAAGACCCAGGATAATCGACGACAGGCGCGTCAACGTCGAGGTAAGACCCGTAGGCCGTCGAACATCTCCAGCAAGACCGGGGATGGTGGTCGGGGCTGGGGAAGGAGAGAGGAGAACTCTAACCAAACCAACCCGTCCGCCGGAGCGATCCGGGTCATCCGGAACGAGCAGGCAGAGCAGCCGTCCTAACCGCGAGGAGAGGACTCGTGGCCGTCCTGACCGCGAGGAGAGGACACGTGACTGTCCTGACCGCGAGGAAAGGACTCGTGACCGTCCTAACCGCGAGGAGAGGACTCGCGACTATCCTGACCCCGAGACGTGGACTCGCGATCGTCCTGACCTCGAGGAACGAGTCACCAGTCGCCGTAACCGCGTGGAGCGAAACTGGAGGAAGGATCCTCGAGAACACGAACCTCGAGAACAGCCGAGGTCCCCGATGGTGATATACCTCTCCACCGAGGACCCCGAGGAGGAATCCACGAGGGACCGAACTGACCCCGAGGAGCAACCCGAAACCGGAGATCCCCTCGAGGACATGGAAACCCCGAGACCAGGTTCCGAGTAGGCGGAGCTCCTCAAGGACCGACAGGACTTCGACGAGTAGGAGGACCTCGAGGAACAGGGAGTATATCGAGGTCATAGGTGTAAGACTGGTCCGGAAGTCAAGGTCGAGAGCGCGAACATGCCCAGGACACTCGAGTCAGCGGGAAAAGCAGTACGCAATGTAAAGTTTTGTTTAGACCTCGCCAGATGACTCAAGGGACAGTGGACCTCGAATAGGCGAGATAAATAGTTTATTTATAATCATTAGAGTTATATTTTAAGTTCCGTTTGCAATAAACTCCGACTGACTGCGAGACGGCGAGATCCAGGCGGCGTGAGACCCGGAAACTCGCCGTTTCGGGTGTAATGAGTAAAGATGTCAGTGGGCCGGTGCGCGTGTCTCATCCGAGAGCCTGAGACTCTTAAACCGACAAAAACTTCCGGAGGCTCTGTGGCGTCTGGGAAGCCGGCCTTGATTGCGAAAATCAAGTTTTGAGAAGATTATTTTATTTCAGTTAAAGAGACCCCTCCCAGATCCCACAGTAAGCCTAGAAACACTAACGGAAAGCGGTAGTACAAGCCAAGGTTATGTAAGAGTTGATAGAGTTCACGAAAGATCCAAATGTAGAGTTTTACATGTTTAGTTTATAAAGAGAGATTGTCAGAGTCGAGTGGCGACGATATGTCCAACGATGGCCTGAAAACAAAAATAGATTAATTACCAAATTGATAGCCTTGACTTGTACTTACCCTGATGACGAAGAAACAAACCAAAGACTGATATTGTCCCGCGGCGACCTGAAAAACAAGAAACAAATTAGTATTAAGTGCGATAAAGGTATAGTATACTTACCGTGTGGGCTGCATCCTGTCCAAGGGCGGCGTCTAGTCCAACGATGACCTGAAACAATCAAAAAGAATTATTAAAGTTAATTTTATATAGATTAAAATACTTACCTGAGGTATGTCTCATCCGATGGTGACCTGTAAAGAAAAAGGGTAGATTAGTGTATAACAACAATATAATGCAATGTGCAATACCTACCTGAAGAGGGTGACAAAAACGATGAGGCGTCCAATGTCCCGCGGCGACCTGAAAAGAAAATATAATAGTCATTAGAATTAAGTTTATAAATTTATATACCGTAATCTATGCTGTTTATATATTTATACATATATATATTTTTATATGCATTTCTTTATAATGATACGCGTAGGATTAAGTTTATAAAAGCGAGCAAAGTTTATTTTACAATTTTATAAGTAGAGTTTATTTTAATAACGTCGAAGCCGGTATTACCGACCCGGTTTTAGCGCCCTCTGAGTGAACGTACGAGCGGGCGGTGTGCGTCTGTTATCCGAGGCATATAGAGTTTCGCCTCTGAGACGGACCCGTGGTCTTTCTAAGAGGCGAAAGGCGCGAAGGCGCCAAACAAAAGCAGTGGGAGATTACCCGCCACGGAGAGCGGACGTGTACACCCCTCGTGCCCACTCAAACCAGTTCCGCGTAAATTGCGGCGAAGATTTATATTCGCGACGCGGTGTAAAGGCGGCTAGGCGGCCCAACGTAACGAATAAATAATCATTAAACAGCAGTGTGGTGTTGGTGTCTCGGTCCCCGATTCCCCGTCCATTCCTGGGGATCCCGCTGCGCTGCTGCATCAAAGGACGGGTGGCGACCGAAATAGCTGCGTCCCGAAAGGAACCTGCTTCTTCATGTGCGAGCCCCTCGGGCTCGAACCCCATTGTGTCCGGTTACAACCTGACGAAGAGGAGCAGTACCAGGGACAACCGGACCGAGAGGATCCTCTACAAGAAGAACTCGAGAAGATGTTCGGCAGCGAGGGATAGACTCGAGGTCGATCTCGAGACTGAGTCGGGTAACCCCGAGACGATCTTCAGTCGATCTCGAGATCGGACTCAGGAAGCAGGCCCCGAGGCAAGGCTTGAGCAGGACCCGAAGGACTCGCGACCGGCCTCGAGATCGCGAAGGGATCTCGAGACGGGTCGCGAGTGAAGGTCAAAGTCGCAAGTCCTGAAAAATAGGACTTAAGTGCTGCTTGAGTTCGATCTCGAGAAAAGGCTGAAAACACCGCCATGCGATTGGTAGAGAAGCATAGGTTTAGTTTTTGTTAAAACCAATTTGTTTAAGAAATGTTTATTTTTCGTTAACGCGAGCGTCTAAAAGAACTCGAGTGACGACTCGAGATGCAGAAGTCCCGCGGCGACGAATTGTTGTAATCGGATCAGGGTTAACTATTTTTTGTTACGCGATTATTATTTTAAGAGACGGTCACGCGGCGACGAGATACTGACGGCGCAGAGATATATAGATATAGAGATATATATTATTTTATTTTATATTTTTATATACAAATGTTTATTAGGGCGAGCGAGCCGTACGGTAAATGGTAAGTTAGAGAACTGTTCATTTGGTACGGTAAAGAACGGTGCCGCCTAAGGGAGTGAAGCGACCTCTACATCGACGCGGGCGGAGCGAAGCGAGAGTTACGCGTCTAGATAGGGATCCATGGCCGATTCAAAATTGTGAGAAGCGCGTAAGCGTGAGAAAGGAGTCTTCCGTGACGAACCGGCCCGGACGGACGCGTGTGTTGACCGCTCCTCCGAATCCCCTCTAGACGCGTAGTGAGCGTAACGAGCCGCGAAAACCCCGCGACGTTGGTCGATGCGCGAAGTGTTTCCGCGTTTAAGATACGGTGTGTATTGTGATAATATACAAATAAACCAAATCTGGTGATAAAGGAGAGTGTTTGCGATTCCTTCCGGCGATCCCGTCCTCCCTGGAAGAGACGCGGGCACGGCACGAACGGATCAGGACGGGTGGCGACCGATATATTAATCAAAAGGACCTGCAGCTTCGGATTACGTGCTCAAGCACGTACTTTTCGTCCGGTTACAACCTAACCAGGAGAGGAGCAACCAGCACCATCCGGACCAGCATAGGAGCATCCAGGACCATCCGGACCGGGAGAGGACCGTAAGTGACCGTCCTGACCACGAGAGGTCCATCCGGGATCATCAGGATCTCGAGATGCAGGATCGGGATCATCGGGATCTCGAGGTGCGAGAACAGGATCTCGAGGTGAGTGACCGGGATCAACGGGATCTCGAGGTGCAAGAACCGGATCTCGAGACACGAGATAGGGATCATCCTGACCTCGAGGGACGTGACCCGAAGGATCCTGACCCCGAGGGAAGTGACCACGAGTATCCAGACCCCGAGGACCCCGAGATCATGAAGCAGATGTGCGAGGGTGAAGACCCGGAGCATCGACCCGGAGGGAACGACAACGAAGACGACGACAGGCGAGTTCTTTTGCAGTGGCTGACTGGTCCCGAGTAGACCTCGAGACAGAGATCAGGTAATCGCGAGATCAAAGGATCTCGAGGTCAGTCATAAATGACTGCACGGAACCGATCAAAAGTTATGTCATATTTTTGTTTATTATGCGACTAGGCTTATAATTATATAATTTTAGTTAAGACCTCGAGGACTTAGAGGAGGTAAGAGTGTGACCTCGAGTCCCGGTAAAACCTAATCTTTGCGATACATGTACCTGCTATAATCGGAAAAGATTTATATTAGTTTTGTTTAGTTTATTATTTTATACTTACCTGATTATGTAGAAGCATCCAACGAAGTCTGTGAAGACTCGACCTGCAACATAAAGAAATATTATTATATAATCATATATAGCCATATATATATTTTTGTATTGTTAGTATTATAATAGTCATTAGAATTAAGGTTATATATATATATAAACATGTTACATACCGATATACACATATATACATATAGAGATATATATAGATAAGATTTTTATACTGCAATAAGTCTAAAAAAGCGAGCAAAGTTTATTTTATAATTTTCATAAGCAGAGTTTATTTTAATAACGTCGAAGTCGGTAATACCGACCAGGGAAAACGCCCTCTAGGCAAACCCACGGAGGAGCGTGAATATGCGTTCGATTCGGGAAATAAGGTTCCGCATCTCCATACGCTCCGCGGACTGTGTGAAGATGCGGAAGGCGCGAAGGGGCCAAGTGAGTCGCCCACAAACCCCGAGCGTGCCGAACGCGTAAGTGAACGCACTCCGTCGCGTGCGACGTTAATAACAAGAAAGTCGTTCTCAAACCCCAGCGCGAACCGAACGCATAGCTGAACGCACTCCGTCGTCGTCCGACATAAAATCACCGCGAAGCTCATTCCGCGATTATAAGACTGTTGTACCAAAGTGTAAAATAAATACAGAATATATATATATACTAACGTGCAGTGTGTACGGTGTATGTCTTCCGGGAATCCCGTCCTTCCCAGGGGATCCGTGCTGTGCGCAACGAAGGGCGGGTGGCGACCGAAAAGAGCTGCGTCCCGAAAGGAACCTGCATCTTCTTGTGCGAGCCCCTCGGGCTCGAACCCCATTGTGTCCGGTTACAACCTAACCTAACGTGATCGGGATCTGCAGGATCTCGAGAGCCGTGGTCGGGACCATCCTGACCTCGAGGGTGTGACCCGGAGTATCTTGACCCGAGGATGTGACCACGAGTATCCTGACCCCAAGGACCTCGAGGTCACGAAGTAGACGTGCAAGGGAGAAGATCCTGAACCTCGACTCGGAGGAAATGACGACGACGAAGATGGCAGGCGAGTCCTTCTACACCGGCTGACTGGACCCGAGTAGATCCTCGGGACTGACCGCTCGAGAGAGATATCATGTGATCGCGAGACGTAGTGATATCGAGATCAGTCAGAAATGACTGTGCGAATCCGTCGGATCAAATTTATTATTTTTAAGTTTTAGTTTATGATGCGACTAGGCGTTTTAATATATAATTTAAGTTTGGACCTCGCGGACTTCGAGCGAGAAAGAATGCGACCTCAAGTCCTGGAAAGAACCTAGTTTTCGCGATACACGTACCTGATATAATACATACCTGCGATGCGACCACCGCGGTGGTAGGATTAAAAGGACGGTGTTCCTCGTGAACATCCTACAACCGGGAAATATCAATATTAGTTTCTTTTAATTTATTATCCTATACTTACCTGATTGTTTAAAAGCATCCCACGAAGTCCCACGATGACTCGACCTGCGAACATAAAAAAAGTATTATTATATCATATATCAGGTGTAGTAAAAAGAAATCCATTA